AGGGCTTAGGCCCAATAATAACAAAATACAATTCTTAAAGAGGAGTGGGCCTTTTAAAACCCAAACTTTCAATTTCTCGATATATGGCATCTTTCAACTTTGGGACCTGTTCGTCAATTTTTTAATAGGCTGGCTCGGATAAAAATAGAATTGGGCCTCCATGGCCCAAAGAGGAATACAAGGAGGGGATCCAGAGGACCCGGATAGATTTCACATGCAAACACAAAAATGAGAATTAGTAACCCGCAATAATATATCTGAACCAATCACTAAATAATGAATGTATCAAAAAGGAGCACGACTTATCAATATAGCAAACAACTGGCAGTAGCTTAGCTAACAATGTCACACTACACTAAACGCGATCCTTAGCTAGAAAAAGAAGAAGAAGTAAATACTTGATCAAGACGCATCATGCTAAACAGTCAGGCAATGAAAGATTTGAGAAGTGGGGAAACTAAGTTGTTAACATTAATTCCATGACGTTAAACACTAATAATTTTAGATCCAAAAGAAAAGACTTGTCCGAGCTTACAAAAAAAAGAAACAAGTTGATAGAAGACATGTAAGTCACAATGGCATTTGATAATTGAATGCCAGATTTCCAACGTATAAGATCCCAACTGCCGAAAATTAAGGCTACTGCTATATCTATGGTAACCATTTCAATATTGTGGCCCAAAGCTTAATACATAGTAGTAATTTGAAGGAGAGGCAAGTGACAAGCAACTTTAAAAGTTATTAAAAGAGCAAAATTATAGAGAAAGATACTCATGCTTAAACAATGCAGAACAAACTTAATTAGTAAACTGGGTATTGTAATATTATTATGTATTTAACCTTTGCAATAATTATGATAGGTGTATGAAAATAAAATAAAATGAAGTACCGCATACACTTTAAACTTATTATTATTTTTTTTGGTATTAATAAAATATGCTTATAAATTAGATAAACAATTAATTAGTGTCGTCGTTTTATTGAAATAACCCGTTCAAATCTATCAACATAAAAAAAAGGAAATTATATCATTAAAAGACATCTTTTTATTTTATAATAATTTAATCCAATTAGGAAATTATATCATTAAAAGACATCTTTCCATTTTTTATAATAGTTTAATCAAATTGGCAGCAACATTATGCGCCTTTAAGTAACGCCTACTTAGTAAAAAAAAGTATATCCGTCAAAAGTTTTAATGGGTTTTAAAAATTTATTTATTTGTGAAATTCATATTTACATGCTATAAAAAAAGTAAATTATTTTGTCATTTCAGATTTCTCTTAATGATGATAAATTTGTTGAGTGATTTTATTGACATAAATATCTAAGTTGAGAGATCATTTAGGATATTAACTTCGACAGAAAACATAAATCAAATCATGCTAAAAAAAAAATAGACAAGTGAAGATAAATTTAAAATGGGCAGGGGTGGAGAAAAGTGGGTTCGACGAGATTCAAGCAGAGGATTTGATAAGAGGAATAAGCAAAAGCAAAAACTAGAGCAAGCAGGGGAAACAACAACATTGAATACGAATCAGCAACATTTTGAATCAATACTAGCATTAGATACAGAAAAAATGTTTTTAAAAAAGGGATCGCTCAAGAACGTAAGCATGACATATTCGGGAGTAATTTAAACACTTGTATTCAAACTAAACAAGTTTTCATCCATGAGTATTCTAATCAAAATAAGATTAGAACAAAATGAAACCCCAAAAAAAAAGAACTCCACAGAAACAGGTTTATCCAAAGTCTAAACAAGACGCGGAAGAAAAGAGATATTACCTTTTCCGAGCAGCGAACGGGGACGGGACGAGGCTAGCCGTGAGAGCTTCCACCACCACACACAAAACTTCAAGAGTTCCAACAGCACACCAAGAGAAACTAAATGAAACCCGAATAACTATCTTCCCAGAACCTTGAACTAGAAAGTTTTTCCAATAATTTATCAAAACGTAAAATCGAGTGTTCCTCAAAACCTCCTGTAAACTATGCCTTTGTGAGTAAAGCTCGGCTAACTTTCTATATTTTTTTTCCCAAAAAAAATCCTCCCCTTCCCACAGTGAACAAAAACAATTATATAGAAGGGAGAATATGATTCCGAAAAATGGGGGGAAAACGGATGAAAATCCGGATAGAAGGGCCCAATTTGAAATTCAAATCCTCAAAAAAAACTTACACCATTAAGGGGAAAACAAGCTTTTTTCTGAAATTTCAACTTCATTCCGGAAAAGGAATGGAGGATGGACGGCTGGATCGATTCCCATCGTCCTTGGAGCTCGACGTGGCCTCATCTCACAACTGCAAGGACGACCCTTTGCTGAAAATAGAGCTGGAATCGCTGGGTTTCGACTTTTGTCGCGTCTGGAATGGGGAAAAACACAGGGTACTGTTTTGGGTGTTGCTATACGTATTGTGTGTTTGGTGGGTATTGTAATGTTGGGGTTATTTTTGTGTATTGGTGGACCGGGTCGGATGGGAATTGGGCTGGATCGTTGGGGCCATTGGTGTTGTAACATATGGGATTTGCTGGAGTTGTGGCTGAAACAGAGGATGGGCCTGGGTTGTGGGGAATTTCCAATTGGTTTGGAAAGGTGAAAAGGAATTGGAAAAAGAGATGGGCTGCTGAACTTGTAAAAGAGGCCCACGTTTTGGTCATTTAATATAACCACATGAACTATTGATTTGATCAATGTATTTCACTAGTGAATTTGGCTAAAACTTAGATAGGATGAATAAATATAATTAATTAACGAGCTTCTTGATTTCAATGAAATAAAATAATTAACTTAATTATAAACTAATT